TGGTTTTAGTAACGTAAAGAAAACCCAGAAAATCAAGGATGATTTCAAAGAATTAAATTTCTCAATTTCGTATTCACGTATGGCTGTTCTGAACTGTGCCCAAAATGTGGGCCAGCCACATATGTCTCCTTTAAAAGTATCAATGTTAATTTTGGGTAATTTATCTTACAAGGCCTACGAACAGTTTGTCGAAGCTCAGGAAATAGTCTCTAGTAAACGTTCCCTTATATATCTACTTGCACGATTCTTATGTATAATAATTTTGTTCTTACATTCTTCCACCCTTCTAAGCTAGTCTTCGAAATCATCAAGATTCGTTACTTCGATTTTCTTACTTTATCTAATAACTAGTAGATGAACCCGGCGTTGTTCGAGCAAAAAATAAAACCAGCAAAGATTATTAGATTATTTCGTACTTCTAACCCTTCTATTATATTATATAAATATTTGATTTATATAACTACGAATCTTATCTTACGTAAGGGTTTTAAACACCATGTGCCTAATGTCACGCATTTTAAAAATTCTTTAAACCGTGTACAGTACAGGAATAAATAATTTTTAAAATGTATTAGATTGGTCACTCGGTGTGATGAACTCTTATGTAAGATAACCTTCGTAGTTATATAAATCAAATGCTACAGTAGTCAGCACTAAACTTAGACCAGGCCGCAGTTAACGTGTTTTTCAATGGATAGGTTTAAAAAGAAGTAGCTTTTATTCATTGCATGAATGTTTTACATAATTTAAAACAAATATACAGTAATTAATCATTATTTTTGCTAAATATCAACTTGATATCTTGCAAGTTTAACAAAATTGAGCCAGTCAAACTTGAGTCACAGGCATCAAAAAACATAGACCATTGCCCATTTTTTGCCAATGAACATAGACCAGCCGATAATTTGCATTTATATAATGTTACAATTGCAGTATTTCTGAAACAACTGATTATTTTAGCATCACTTTAGATTATTTTAGCATTATTTTAGCTTGCAGTGATCCTGTGAATGATATAAGGTGCTTTTTTTAGTTTTATTTACGAACCTTTGCATTTTGTCTACAATGGCCAGAGGAAAAGCTATTTCAGAAGATTTAAGGAATGCTATCATTGCTAAAAACAGTCGCGGCATGTCTGAGAGAGCTATTAGTAAAGAGCTAATGCTAAGCGAGACAACAGTGCATCAGATTATTGTTCATTACACTAACCACGGTCGTGTTATACCTATCAAAGCTGCTGGACATCAGCGAAAAGTTCAAAAGTTGATGATAGGAGTTTGAAAAGAATCGTAAAACCAACTGTCGTGTCACAGCATTGGATGTAACTACAACATGGACAACTGGAAGGAATGTATCTGTTTCGACAACACGCAGGAAACTGCAAGAAATGTATTTCCGGTTCTATACACCACGTGAGAAGCCTTTGCTGACAGCACATCAAAACAAGAAACGGGTACAGTGGGCCAAAGAACATCTTTCCTGGTCTCAACAAAAGTGGCATGAAATTCAGTAGTCTGATGAATCAAATTTGAATTACCAGCAACAGACAAATGCAAACGTGTCATTCGATCTGCCAATGAAGCTAATGATCCATCGTTGTTAAACCGCTCAGCGAAGTTTCCTGCCAGCGTATTGATTTGGACCCCCAAATCAATACGTGTGTATGAGCGCCAGTGATTTGGGTCAGCTGACATTTGTTGATGGAACACTTGCTTCAGAGCAATACATTAATATTCTACAACAGTGTTTACTTCCGTCAATAGCAAAGCTATATTCAAACAGAACATGCATTTTCCAGCAGGATGGGGCCATATGTCATACAAGCAGAAAAACAAAACAGTGGCTTACAGAAAAGAACACAGTTCTTCCTTGGCCATCCAACAGCCCAGATCTTTCACCAATTGAGAATGTATGAAACATTATGAAGAGACGTCTGCGAAAAACACGCCCTTGGACAGCTGAAGTACTAAAAGCTTCCATCCTATCTAGAATTTCATAACGGCAGATGAATGTGAACACCTAATCAACAGCATGCAGAAACGCATGGAAGGTGTTCTGGCCACAAAAGGTGATCCAACAAAATATTAAACATGCAGTCTATGTTCATTGACCAGGGCAACGCAGCGGCCTGTTTTTTTTTAATGCCTGTGACTCAAGTTTGACTGGCTCAAGTTTGTTAAACTTGCAAGATATCAAGTTGATATTTAGCAAAAATAATGATTAATTACTGTATATTTGTTTTGAATTATGTAAAACATTCATGCAATGAATAAAAGCTACCTTTTTTTTAAACCTATCTATTGGATGGCATGTTAACTGCGGTCTGGTTTAAGTTCAGTGGTACCTACTGTAAATGCCCCACAAGAACGAACGGGTTAAGAATAATAAAACTTATATTTCTATTAGAATTGGTAATTACAATAAAAACTATTCGAAACGGAAACCTGCCAAACCGGAAAAATATTCGGTACCGTACGAGTCCGGCTTACACAGGTTTCATTGTATTTGTTTTATTAGTAACTAGCGGATATATCCGACAGTGCACGGCCAAAAACTAAGACTAAACGTTAAAATAAAGCCATATTATAAGTTCGGGTTTTAGCGCATCATTGTTATGTTAATAACGAAGTGTCGAGACGATAAAACCAGAAGTGGGGTGGTCCAAGTTTCGCGAGTCTTATATTTTCCTCGGGGTCCCAAAGAATACGTATGAAAAATTTGGTGCAGATCAGACAAATGATTTAGGAGTTAATACAGTAGCCCCTCGTTATATCGCGCTTGTCGGAAGATAAAGAAAACGCGCAATATAACGAGGGGCAACTGTATTAAAATTATGCCTTTACATATTAATCAGTTATCAAAAATTTATACTGTAAATTACTGGTAGGTTAGTTTAGTTAGTGAGCAAGTTAACGTTAAAAATAATGATAAAATAAAATAAATAAAAAATTTTGGGGTCTTGCTTGTAGTTTGTCATTGTGTATGTTTACTTTTCGCGCTGTCTGTCTAGCTGTTTAGTAGTATTAAGATTCGCGCTCGCGTTCAGTTTTATTAGTAGATACAGTATGTCTTTCTACTAACAGCCACTTGGCACTAACTTCTACACTTAGCTATTCGTGGTGGCACACTCAGGTTTCTTTAGACCCTTCGGGGCACTACAGCCTTGCAGCCTAAAAACTGCACGCCAACATCAAACATTAGCCTTATGTACTGTACTGTACGTTTTTCAGAGGAATCCTACCTTTTTCTACTGTCTATCTCCTCTCATTCCTTCTTACCCTCTTTTCTGCCGGCTAAACATCTAGTGTACGGTCGATGTATTTCTTGTATATAGGTATATAAATTACTGATGAAATATGGAATATAATCTGCTCATTTACTTCAATAATGATCCAATTTTGGCTGTCAGAGATGAATGAGACAAATGATTTTAAGAGTAATATGTTGTCATTTAGTCATAAATTAATAGTTCAGATAAGATCTAACTTTGTTGGAGAGATTTAGAGGTCAGACAGATGACAGTGGAAATTATTGGTCTACAATTTTTTTAAAATTGCAGGCCAATTTGTCTAAGCCAAGCATTAAATGCAATTACAATTTTCTATCATAACTTCTAAAGAAAAATAATATATTTTTTTGACTTGTCTAAATATGTTTGGTTTTTATTTTAATTCAACATAATATAAAATAAAATAACAAAAGAAATATTCAAAGCACAGATATTTTCAGCATCTTTAATGCCATTCTCCAGCCTCCAAATTAGAAAAAAAAAACTGTTCTATCAAACAGAATCTGTTCTAGTTTTGTATGTTGAATTATATTTAAAATCAACAAAGCAATTAAAGAATTATTATTCTGAAAAGACTTGTGATTATAAAAATAAAGAGTAGTTTCAGTAGGCTACAAAAACAATTAGGTGAAAGATGTGGATTCATTTGATCCCTAATGCAGTGATGGTATCTTATTTGTCGCATCAAATTGGGATGCCCAACATTTGAAATGTAAAGTAGACACACAACTGACTGAAAAATTCTTTTTATATAAACCATATTTTATTTTAGAACAGCAAATACAGCAGTGGTTATAAAATTTTCACATTTTATTTAAATTTAAAATTACTTCTTGCATACAAATATTTTTAGATGCCCTGCACCTTTATTAAAGTGACTATTCGTCATGATAGATGAAAAGTAAAAAAACAACCAAAAAATAAAATAAACAAAAAATATATATATATATATATATATTTATATAATTTTCTCTCTCTTATGCAATTATTTTCTTTTATCGAAGATGGCATTTCTCTAATATATAATTATCAAAAGTATAAAGTTGACTAATGTTTTAATTTATAACAGGGAAAAAAGTATTCCAAGAGCTGCCAATTTTACATTTAAAAACTATTAATAAAATTATCTGACTATGGGAAAAAAATACACAAAAAATGATACGTGCAGTGCACATTTTATCCTAAGCGGACATTAAATATATAAATGCAATAAGTTTGTGTAAAAAAAATGTGATATATCTTCTACATATATATATAATTTTTTTTCCAATATGTATTTTAAAATACATTTTGTTTTTTTTTAATAATATATTTTTAAAATCTGTGATATCTTTAAACTTACAGGGAACTGTAACAAGCAATATGTATATATAATGTTTTTTTTTTTTTCATTTTTTAATAACATTTAGCACCGAGATTCTCAAATAAGAGGAATGCATACTTCGTTTAAGGCAGCTGAGCAAAGAAAGATCATTTAAAATAATGAAAGTTTTTGTATATGTTAACTTTTTTTGATGTAAACTAGAATTTCAATTCACAATATGTATACATACATAAACTTTTAAATATAAATGATAAGAAAATACTGCTTTAGTGATATGCCTTGTGAAAGCTGCAACTACAGCATGATTTCTATTCTAATATACATCGTGAATTTTCCATTACTGTACCTTGTCTCCTTCAAAAGCATCATTGTTAATTTATGTAATTATATTTTTTTTTTTTCCTTGGAATCACTTTCCAAATTAGTTCTCTATGATAGCAAAAATGTTTTAACGACAAGCAATACTCCCACAATGATTGTTTTGATCCTTCATTAAATTTACTTATATTATAAATTTATAATGATCTTTTTTCTGGAAAATAAGAAAAATTTATTAATGCATTACTACACATTATTATTATTATTATTGTTAAAATGCTAAATTAGCAGCTTACTAAATATCACTGTTTATTGGATTGTTGTTGGATTTCTATTTTCTCTACAGTCATGTCAGGATTCATCATGGTGGCCTCCTGAATGGCTTCTACCAGTGCTTGGTCGTGATCAACGGGATCGCCGTCACTCTGTATTGTAATTTTTTGTTCCACTCGTGTCTCAACCACTCCATTTTTCTCTGTTTTATACTACGTAGCAAATAAGCAAAGTTTAATATTATAATTTTATTCATTTTTAAAAATACTAATTCTTAAATTTGTTATTTATATATAAATTATGCATACACATATGAATAAGATCTATTTAAAAAATTATTGAATACAATTATATTAATTTTTTACAATAGAGAATAAGAATGTGCTACTTAACAGTTATTGTTTCAACAGTTCTTGTTTTACTGGAGACAGTTGAAGTGCTGATTATTTCACCTATTTCCTCTGATGAAGACAAGTTTGGTGGAGGACTTTGAGATTTTGGTGTTTGATTTGGAGGATATGTCACTTTACGTGTCTCTGTGGCAACAAGAGGAACAGTTGTGGTAGAATGTTGTTCGTTACTTACTGACGTAGGACTGTATTTGATTGTTTCAGTTTTCACAATAGCTGGCTGAAAGAAATTTTTAAAAAATGTAATATATACTTTAAAAATAATTTTTAAAACTTTTGAAAAATCTGAGATAAAAATTTTTACATTTCAAATAAAAGTATATATATACTTTTCAAAATAAAAAAAATTTCTGGTTGCAACAGATAAAAATTACTAATGCATAAAATAATATTTACAAATTGTACACAACCATACCACAATTTGTTATATACAGCTTCTTACACTGAAGAAAGAATTTCAACTTCTTTCATATCAAAAATATACAGGGATATAAATGTTAATTAAATTAATTAAACAAATATTAAACCATCAGTTACTTAATTTAATCTAAATTCATATGTAGATAATTAGTATCATTAATGTATAGATCTGTTAGAATTTGGCATGTTCATCCCTGTGTTGCTGAAATTTTAGCAAAGATTTTTAATTTTTCAATCAACAAATGCAAAATGAAATAAAATCATTCAATTTTTTTTAAATATCACATATAAATAAATTACAATCATATTTTTCTGGAAAAACTAAATCGATTCTCAATGTCTCATCATAATGATAACATTATCTGAACCGAAAATTAAACCTCTGGAGGTGAAAATTCAACTGCCATTCAAACTGAATGACTGTGGGAGAAGAGAACCATGGTTCCAACTATAGTTGATGAATTAAGAATCATTCCAAGAAACTTAAAATATCTTCAGAATATAGATTTAACATTCATATGCTGTATAAGACAACAATAGTAGTGTTAGTTATCCAGAATAATCTGATCCAAACACTTTCCAATAGATAATCACACTTGGTGGAAAAAAATAAAAATACCTTAACACCTGACTATGCTATGAGTTCATTATAAAAAGAAAATAATTATTCAAAGCTAGTATTATTAAATCTTGGTTGCTTGTTGTTCTCTATTAGATGTATTTTCTTAGTACAATGTTGCCATTGAGAACATATCACACAGGAACACTTTCAGAGGTAAAAGGTTGTTTTATTGGTGTGAACGGATATGCATTTTGGGCTTAACGCCCCTCTTCAGTCCTGAGATAGCGACAGTTAAACCAACATGACTCATAAGAAGATATACACGTAGTTGAAAAAGGAAAAAGGAGCTAAAAATTCTTTTGGCTCCACACATACACATATTAGGATAGTATAACATGTACTGTAGGGTGTGAAATAATTCTGATGAGATGTACAGAGAACATAGACAAGATACGAGAGGTTAAAAAGAAGTGAATAATCCTTATTAAATAGCATAATCCTTGGAAAACTTTCAGTGTATGTTACAAGGATTACTCACTTCTTTTTAACCTCTCATATCTTGTCTATGTTCTCTGTACATCTCATCAGAATTATTTCACACCCTACAGTACATGTTATACTATCCTAATATGTGTATGTGTGGAGCCAAAAGAATTTTTAGCTCCTTTTTCCTTTTTCAACTACGTGTATATCTTCTTACAAGTCATGTTGGTTTAACTGTCACTATCTCAGGACTGAAGAGGGGCGTTAAGCCCAAAATGCATATCCGTTCACACCAATAAAACAACCTTTTACCTCTGAAAGTGTTCCTGTGTGATATGTTCTCAACGGCAACATTGTGCTAAGAAAATACACAAAGCTAGTATTCTTTCACACATTACAACTTTATTTTTTGAATAAAAATTGATTATATATTGTGGCCGCCAGCACCAGAGATCCTGAACACTGTCTGGCAACACTTGCCAACAAGAGTGGCTGGCAACGTCAAAAAAAGGAAAGGCGCAAAACTTCGTTGGATTTTGTCCGGGTGTTGCCCGAGGATGTCTGTGACAGTTCTAACCTTTTCTAATAAAGTTCTTTTTTGTTACTGTTCGTGTTTGCCTGCTTAATGTTAGATCTAAACATCAGTAGGATTGAATGACAAAATATATTTTTGATTAATACAGTAGATTACAAATATTGTTTAAGTCTTTGTATAGTTTCAAATATTTAAATCGATTTTTTTAAAAAATTCTTATTTTAATGAACGTTATTTTCTCTAAAAACAACTATTAGTGTTTAAATTTCTAAATGTTTGTAATTTATTATTACAAGTTTTGTCTTACTCTATATAAAAATTCTATATTTTTTATACCTGGATATCATCAAGAGTGCCCGAAACAACTTTTGTACTTTTTGATATTTGCTGCGTCACAATTCTCTGTTCATTGAGAACAGTACTCGTCGCTTTGCTTTTCTCGACACCTTTTTCTGTGGGTTCTTCTACATGTTCTTTTGTCACGGTACTTGATTTTGATTCAAAAACTGTAGGCTTTATAGTTTCCAGCTAAAATAATAAATTTTTTACAATTAACAATAAAAATTAAAAAGCAAATTAATAAGATGTAATTCGTATTTCTCTCAGAATAAAATTTAAGATAAATATTTTGTATTTACTATAATAAGTACAATCAGTAATTCATAATTCTTGGCTAATTTAAATCTTTTACAGTGGTCACCACTTACAGTGATCACATTAGTTCAACGCTGTTTTGATAGTAAGCAGCTGGTAACAATATCTGGCAGTCAGAATACAGGGGCATGCATTTATGGCAGAGGTGTTCAGCAAGTCGGTCACAATCAACACATTAATCTCAAAAAAAATTAAATAAATAAAGAACATAAGCAAACATTTTTGTCTAAGCAATGTCATTTTTGTCTAACATAGATTGCAACTAGTTTTAATAAAACAAAAGTCAACTGCTAAAACAAGAAGTTGGCCACTTGCTTTACTATAGTCATAAAACTGCAGAAAACCAATTTGTGGTGTTATTTAATAAATAAAAATAGATACAGTATTATAATGGTTACTCCAACATTTATTTATTTAAAGTTTTCAATGTTCTAAAAATATCTTATTTAGGAGTAACAGTAATACAACAATTCTCAATTGGTGATACACAACTGGCATACAATACTTTAATAAATCTATAATTGGCAACATATTTAAAAAATAGCAGAGATAATTATTAATACTTCCAGAAAAGTAATAACTAATGTTTTTAAAAAGCTATTTCAAACTAATCCTATTTGTTGGTTATAAATATCATAAAAGTTCTAGTTTAATCTGTTAATAATAAGTGGCAGGCTGATCACAATAACTGGCAAGATTTTAAAAGGAAATGTAGAATCAAATTCGGAAAAATGGGTTTTGATTACATTAAGCAGCCGATAACATTAGCCAGGGATCGCAATAAGTGGCAAACACTGTATCGTATATTTAATTAATATGCATTTATGTCCTTAATTTAATCAAAATTATTCTTTCAATCACTATATCAGTGTATTTCTATTAATAGGACTTATCATACTGGTGTATAAGTTTACAGCCTCACAGTTACACAGATTAAAATTGTTTTATTTTCAATTACCTGTGGCATGTTCATTATATATATATATATACATATATAAATTTTATATATATGTTACCGGCAAAGTATGAAAAGCCGGCATTCTATAGAATACCTAGGCATTGTATATAATGCCTGGCGTTTTTAGGCAATCTATGAAATATGAGAATTATTACATACTTTCCCTAGGCATTGTATATAATACCTAGGCATTCTATAGAATGACAAATGCTATTTAGGCAAAGTATGAAAAAAGGTTCTGATAAGGCTATTATATAAATGACGTGCATTCCTCAAAAATACAAATGTTATTCTGAAAAAATAATGAGAGTGCCATTAAAAAAATTTATTCAAAATACGTAAAGAAAAATGAAAGTTGTACAAAACAAAATTTATGCCTTTCTTATTAAGGGAAACAAAATTTTCATATAAAAAATTACAATTAACCTACTTGTTGCAACATGGTAGGCTTGAATGACATTTTGAATTACATTTCATTACATTTTTCACGCAAAGACATTTCATATTTTGGCACTTTGTTTTACACATACATTTGACGAATCCTTGGCCGCTTCCACTGGACTGAGCAATTGCAACTGACCGGAGAGGAATTTCATGGTCAGGAATATCTTCAATTCTAAGCAAGTTCTTGGGGCATGGAGTGAATTGTGATCTCGCATATACTTGTTTTAAAATTCCTTCAGAAGTTCCAAGTCGGTAGAAACCATCCTCTGTCACACTCATTACAATTGCCAATATATTGCGCGAATCACCTCGCCCCTTGTCGACGTCAGGAATAGGAACTCGCACAGTAGTTCCCAAAGAAGCAGTGGGAAATTTTTTTTCCGAATTTATTTTCATTTTTTGGCTTGTATTTCCAGATTGATTTTAGAATTTATTTTACCTTCAATAGCATTTTCAGTTTTGAAACAAAGGGTGCACAAAATATCCATTTCATCATCTTTACTAGCATGGCCACAGAAGGTATGAATTTTTTGACGACATTTTTTGCATGCAAGTGCATCACTTGTTTCCTTTAAACACACACAACAGGTATCAGAAACGGAAATCTCTTCAGTAAGCATGTCTTCATCGTGTTGGTTTACTCCACTAACGACTATAATCTCATCTTGCGTAATCTGATTAGTTTCACCTTTTTCCATTGTTTTGACGCTTTCTATTACTTTTTCTAGCTGCTCCTCTGTATTTATGTCTTTTAATTCTGGTAGAAAAGAAAGCCCTACTTTAGGTTTGCAGCCAAAAAGAGCTTCGTATGGTGTTCTTTTGATCCCAGAATGATAAGCTCTATTTTTCATAAATTGAACGAAACGTAGTCCTTCACTCCAGCGGTCAGATTTGTTGTCCTGCATCCAAGTACAGAGCATATTTTCGATATCTTGATTAGCTCTTTCGACACTACCCTGGCTTTGTGAATGGCGAGGCTTCCCATGGACGATCTTCAGTGCTGGCCAAAACTCCTTCAAGCTGGTCACCACATTATTCGCAAATTCCCTACCATTGTCAGACTGTAATATAGACGGCGCTCCAAGCAACGAGAATATGTCCACTAGGTTGTAGGCTACTTCTTCAGCTCTTTTCGACGTTAGAGACTTAAGAATCACAAATTTTGTGAGATGATCTTGGTACACCATAATAAATTTGTATTCTCTATCTGGCTGAGACTGAAAGTCAATAAGATCTACTTGACAACGGGAATTAAATTCGGAAAAAATCATAGGTTTCACAACAATGCCCTTTTTAATACCTTTCTGTTTTTTCTGGCAAGGTTCACAAAGGTGGATGTACAGTTCAATATCATGACGTGTAACATTTTTGTATTTGATTGAAAGTTCTTTCAACATTCTATCACGTCCTCCGTGTCCAATAGCCAAATGAGCTTCATGAAGTACGTGAAATAACTCTGAGTCCGTGACGTAATACTGTATAGTACTGACGCCTTCTTTAACAGGATAAATGAGTTTACTTTTGTTTTCTACAATCATCACATCATAGCGATTCAGCAACCAATAGTCCCTGGGTTCCTTCTTAGTAGTCATTTTGGCTTTTTGTACATCATTTATTAACTTCTGGTAAGTAGTTTCGGTTAAGAAAATACTGTTTTTTGCAGCATTAACTCGAATTTTGCACAGTTCATCGTCGAATCGTTGTTTCATGTCTATAGACCATGACACCTTCTCCAACACTACAGCTTGCTCCTCCATTTTCATGGACCACAGTAAAAAACTAATTTTTTGTTGAACAAATTTAAGTAAAATTGCGTATTTTGACACTCCCGAACAAACCGCAAAGTGCAACTGACAAATTCTAAGCCTGAGCCGCTCGTTAAAAGTCACGTGCCTTGCCACGTGATATTTGAAACGAAACGGAGATGTATTTCATACTTTGCCGGTTTCTCATTTGGCATTCTATAGAATGCCTAGGAAATCTGTAAAATATAAATCGTTTCATAGATTGCCGGCTAGTTTTAGGCATTATATACAATGCCTAGGCATTCTATAGAATGCCGGATTTCAAACTTTGCTGGTAACATATATAAAATGAATATGCCACAGGTATATGAAAATAAAACAATTTTAATCTGTGTAACTGTGAGGCTGTAATCTTATACCCAAGTATGATAAGTCCTATTAATAGAAATACACTGATATAGTAATTGAAATAATAATTTTGACTGTATCGTATAATTAAAAATAAAACTATTAAATTTATACATAAACCTAAAGAATTTGTTTAAATTATCAATTTGTGAATCTATCTAACTTAAATTAAATTTACAATATTCAAGAAAATTTTATTAGACTTAAAAAATTAAATAAAAGTTTAAAAAATATTTCATTTTAATTAGAAAAATTAGTATTAAAGTATACACTAATTTATTTCAATTTAAGCACGATTTATTGTTAAATTTATGTGAAAGTTTAATGGATAAGTTTGATCATTTTTAAATTAATATTTTAAAATAGTAATAATAAACATAATTTTTCAATATAACTTATAAAATGTAAGTATCTATTGATTTATGAAAATTTAAAAACAGGTATGCAAAAATCAGTAATGAAAATGAGCAATGCTTTTTTTTGTTAGTACTATAGAAGTCCAATAATAATCATTTACTATAAACTGCTCAACCAGTAATTTATATATATAAATAAGGATGTTTGTTTGCTCATTTGCTATGCACACCTAGGCCAATCCAGCCAATTACTACGAAACTTGACAGTTATATTAACATACTTCTAACTTAGACAATGTCTTAAATATCACCCCAAAATATTGATTGTATTTCTATATATAAATTAATTTCTGCCTATATTCCATTTGCTGGGTTTGCATGTAGCACCATCTATTGCAAACAAATTTAAGAAAATAATAAAATAAATATAATTCTTAAAAATATATATTATATTCATTTAATTACTGCGACAACGATATAGGGTGAAATAGATGCACAATATCTTTACTGCAACAGATAGTATGTAGCACTTGCCTATATGGAATTGAAAGTATTTAAGAATGTGAAAAGCTATAAGTATTTAATTTTCCACATCTAAGAAGTCAAGTTTTTCATTTCTGAATGGTACTTTCTTAATTCTAATAAGTACCCTCCAGTAGCTGAGTAAATAAAACCACTGAACACTGGTAGTTGGTCATGGGTTTGGGCATGGCCAACAGGCTGGCCATGTAGAGTTTTCTGGTTTTCTTCATCTTAGTAACACCTAAATGGGACAAGCTTCACATATTTCTGGGATATTGGAATGGTCAGTTTCTTAGCATTAAAACTAGAAAAAATTATGATATCTGAAAAAATTTAAGATATACAGTCGACCCCCCATAACACAGTAAATACGTTCCGGTTTTTATGAATCCATTTGCTATGAGTCCAGCCAATCACAGCCCGGCACATATGCAGTTTACAGACTATGGCTGTTTGAAAGGATTCTTTCATAAAATTAATCGATTCTAGACTAATTCGACTCAACGTTTCCAAACTACGTATAATTTTTTGGGAATAATCCATATAAACTATGCTATAAACAAAAAATTGTAGGATTACTTACCAAGTGTGCACCGTTTGACTACGCCATTGCTTAAGCTCTTTTTCGTCGTGGAGCTTGTCATCAAATGGAGCTTGCATGCTTCCTAATAAATTATTTTTTTTGCAAAAAATTTGCTGAACTTTGGAGACATCATTAATATAAATATAATTTTTATGGACATTAAATAATAAATGGTTTTNATTATATTCTGAAGGAAATTCTGCATAATTTGGCAGCCCCCCTGGCAAACTTTTTATGGACCCCCAGGGGGCCGCAGCCCCCCGTTAAGAAACACTGCTCTACAGTACACAATTTAAATAATTTTTAAAATGTGTCAGATTGGTCACTTAGTGCAATAAGCCTTACATTAAATAACCTTTGTAGTTATATAAATCAAATACTATAATATTGTGGTGAACGCCATCCTTCACATCTCAACCGTCGTGAAAAACAAGCAACAAACCCTGGGTGGTATAAGTCATCACTTTCTAAAACAAGTTTGAACTCACCCAGTAAGAACATTGACTGTTAGTTGTTCTTTTGTTAACCGCATCGTCGAGACATGTACCATACACGCAAAAAGACAATAAACTCAGTTCTGTTACAATCAAGTCTCATTCATTTTTATCATGCGCAGTGACGAAAAGTAAAACAATAGTAGTAAAAACATTACAATATAATATATTGTAATAGAAGGATTAGAAGTAAGAAATAATCTAATTTGTTGTTATTTATTTCCCAGGCAATGCTGGGCTTATACGAGTATAGTGGAAACCTGTCTACTATGGAAGAGTTGTTTCATCCCTTGGGATTCCATTATAGATAGATTTGACTCTACAATATAATATAATAGAAGGATTAGAAGTAAGAAATAATCTAATACTGTTAATGTTTGTTGTTATTTTTTGCCTGGGCAATGCTGAGCTTATCTACTAGTTAAATTAATAATCAAAGTTACACTTTTAAAGATAAAGCATTAAAACTAAAACTATTAACAAAATATTGCATTGAAGCAATAAATTAATAATGCATAATGATAAATTTAAACTATTGAATCTTCAGAAAGTACTATCAATTGGAATATTGAATTTGACATGGCAGTTGTTAGCAATTTTGGCATACTTTTAAATACCATTACATTAAAAGCACATAAGGTGAGATATTTTTTTGAAACATCTGTAAATTCACAGTTGCCACATGCCAAAATCTGTATCAACTGATGACTTTGTTAGTTCAAATAAGAATTTTTTAGACTATTTTTCATAAAGGATGACTGTTCAAATCCATCTTCCAGAAGTCGCTCTTCCTTCTTCAACATTTGACAAAATCTAAATTACTTTATCAATGAACACTTAACTTGCTTTTAAGAAACTTTACAAACTGACAATTAACTTATCAAAAACAAAAATGAAATTATGAAAACAGCAAAACTCATTGTTCTTGTCTAAAAAATTCTGTAGCAAATAAAGAATTGTTGAATTAGTTCATAGAAATACCCAGTTCATTCAATAATTAGAATCTTACATACCTACTGATTTCTTATTTATTCAGCATAATATATATCAGATATTTGTTTAAACTGAAACTATCTTTTGTATTTAAATTTTAAATTAATATATATTTTTCAAATTAAGATAAGAAATATGAAAGAATACAGCAGGCAAGGCAAATGCAGCTCTTACATGCAAATAGTAATATTCAGCATACTGTAATCAGAGAGATTTCTATGATAACAAAATATAGATTATTTTAACATTAATTATGAAAATATTTATGAGAAATTTTGTTTTTTGTAATTGCCATTCATGTAATAAATTAAGAATAGTACACGATATAAATATTTAAAAACTAACTAGTAACATTTACAAGTTTTTTTTATTAAAAAAAATTAATCAAATGGCAATACAAAATACAAAATAAGCAGAAATAAATAAAATAACCTAAACCTTTGTTGGTGACGATGGTTCTTTCTTCTTTCCAGCAGGAACTACACCTACTATAACTGGTTTAGTTGAAATTATTCCTTTTGAAATGTCAGAGGGCTGGTCTTCCTTTTTCTTTAATTGTTCATTTTCTTTCTTCTTAGAAAGATCTTCGGGAGATGTTTCTTTTGGATGAACTGCTGCAGCTTTTCCTTCTTTCTCAGCTCCATATTGGTCAAGACTGCTAGTTGATGAATGTTCAGATGAACTTGAAGAAGGTTCAATATTTTCAACTTTTGTAGCTACCTTAACAGTACTTGTAGTAGTAGTTGTTGTTGTTGTAGCAGCAGCAGTAGTAGGAGTAATAGTAGAAGTAGTAGGCTGTTTTTGTTTTTCTTCTATGGGTGATTTTACTTCACTTTTCTGAACTGCAGATGGTTTCTCGGCATTTCGAGAAATCTTTTCATCTACACCAGATGGAGCATATGTAAAAGCTATGGCGGTAGCACGTTTTGTAGGCGAAGATATTTCTTCATTCGGTGCTTCTGATGCATTTTTATTCTGCTCAGTATAAGTAAAACCAAGAGCTTTGGGACTGTATGGTCTCTTATTGGTAGAGTCATCAACATCATGACTATATTCTTTAGTATATGGAGATCCTGGAGAAGTTTTGTATGGAATGTTTGACTTATCTGATTTTACAGATATTGCATGTGTGTGATTTGGAGTACTAGTAGTAGGGCCAGGAGAACTCTTTATTGGTTCTGGAGATCCCTTTTCCTCCTATTTTTCCATTGCATGCATTCAAAGACAGGTTAAGATGCACAGCCATATACAATGAGAAGAAGAGAGCATGCATAAAAGAGCAAAGAATACATATTAAGATAGATTATAAACATGCAAATATCATAATTTATATTGTTTATTGAATTCATTTTACTTTAAAAAGATATCTAAATCATATTTTTAGAGAAAAACATTCATACTTAGAAAGAAAAAGAGAACACAACACATTAAATGCATTAACATTCTACTAAGTCATTCATATGTTTAATTAATATTTTCAATAAAAGAATTCTAAAACATAATATATATTTTCATTTTTACAATTTTATTAATTCAAATTATATTAAAATTTATTATCAAGTATTCTAAGTGAACATGTAAATTTTGATCAGTTTTTTCAAATTCTATTAGTACACATTTATTAGATATATTCACTGTAGAAATCATATATAAATCATATTTTTAATACCTTAAAATCAATGATATTTATATAAAGAAATTTCTAATATTTTATTCTTACGAAAAATATCAGTCTAACTTATTCTGAACAGTTAATAATTCTTTTTATCACAATCTTCTATGAAGATAAATAGGAATTATTAACTGTTCAGAATAAGTTAGACTGATATTTTATCTTCTGTGAAGATAAATAGGAATTAAATTAATGCATTTTATTTTGGAATTTTTCAACATTAAGATTTTAGGAGTGGAAAAAAACAAAGAAATTAATTTTATTTAAGAAATTAAAAGGAAAATGTAATTGTATGATTTACTAATAAATATAACTTCATACAAAAATCTTGGAATCTCTCTCATCATTACAAATTTTATTTTTATAAACTAAAATCTAGATTCAAGTATGATTGGTGTACTAAGAATCCTCAATTTACATGTAATTATGAAAAATTTTCAATATTTTACTCAGCGTTTGAAAATATCAGCATGAAGATATGTAGAATTTAACAACAATGATACTCCTGTAATGTTTTAGATTCTTTAGATAAAAGTACATATTTTAAAGTCATTGCAATTTCAGTATAAAAATATGTAAAGTAAAATTTATAATCACAATTATATAAAATTTTCTAAAAATTTATCCATTTAAATAACTTACATCATTAAATTTTCTACCAGATTCCAAGGGTTTTGATTCTATTTTCTTTATAACTTTAGCATTTTCTGTAGGTGATTGATCTATTCTTCTGATATCCATTGGGGGTAAAACAGCAACTCCACCAACAGGTTTCTGACATTAGTAAAAATTACTTGTATTAAACTGATGTATTAAACATCATTAATTTTAAAAATTTATTTGTAACTAATAACTGACAAATCAATAAAATGCTTTTAATAACAAATTAGAGGAAAGACTAAATAAGCAATACAATATAAATTTCAAATATACCACACAGAGTTTTTGGTTCATTATATTTTACCATAAAAATATTCAAATTAAACTAATTTGCTGTTATGTAATGTGTAATACTGAACATTAATGATCAGATGGTTGAGGTAAAGTGATGGTTAATGGTAGGTTGATGTTAACCACTGCTCTGGGGACCCAGAATTTAATCTGGACAAGCAATTGCAGAGATTTTTCTTGGATGGTGAATCCTGGATGTGTAAGACTCTATCCCATACTAACAGGCTCTCCTACTATGGGCTTGGAATTTATGAAGCCTTTGCTAAGAGTAAAAATGAAGGGGCAAAAAAAACATCAGTTACAAACAGTTCTCAAACCAATGTTCATTCATAGTGAGGCAGTGAGGTGTTCAAATGAATGGATTAATCCCTCTGAAGTACTAGTAAAATCTCATTACATGCATCAAGTTTTCCTCAGTTGTTCAAAGATACCTGTAGCAGATTCACAAAACAATTTTCAATTTAACTTTCTGTACCTCTGCTTCCTCTTTCAAAAAAAAATTGTTGCATCCCCAATTTTTGTAACAATCTCATAAATACTGTTCTTATAATTTATTTAATGGTCTACAAAACAGTATACCTTATTAAATAAAGTATATTGTTTGCCAGGGCTTGACTCTTGTCGAGACGTTTCAGCAAGAGCATGGATGGATTTTTAGCATTCATACCAGAGTTGTTCAGACAAGGGTTGTGAATTAGGCATAACCGTTTTGCTGATTCATTTTTTGACATTAATTTAACTTTTTTTTGTTTGATTTTATTAAAAATCGATAATTTGGTAAAAGCTGTGCACCCCCTTGCAATAGTCTTGCACCCCACAGATTGGAAAATACTGGTCTAATGGATTTGTATTGAGTGAACAGGATAGTCATTATTCCACTCCCCAACAAACAATCCACTTGGTAACTCTTGGTCCAACCTATTCTGCACATTCACAACATAATGGAGGAGTTCCTTTTTGCTGAGATTGTCATTATGGACTTACCAGCACAGATTATTTTTCTTCCTGAATAATGCCATTTATTGCAGATATAACAGACATGAAAGTGTAAAATTTCCTTCACTAAAATATTGAATAGTTTAATTTATCATGATTTCTACATAGACATTATACTGAGGGTGAGCCTCTCTAAATTCTCTGACATTTTTCCTCAGACTGATTTGACATTTGTTTGATTAGCATGACCATTAAAAAAAAGTTAAATACAACTGCTAAGGTCAACATTTTAAATGATCACTATTGATAAAAAAAACAGCACAAAACTCCATTCTTCTTTCAAAGTTATCCTCAGCCAACTCCTAGACATTTGTAATTTGATACAAGTGAAATTTATGGAGACATAAAATAAATAATACAGAAGTCTAGCTAAACCCAGTCTTTTGAACAACAGCATATAATAATTGTTGAAATTTGCTACAACAGAAAACAGCAAGAACAGCTACCCGAGTGTCTTTATTTGTTACTGGATATTGTTAGTTTGATTTCACACTTCCAGTATCACAAAACTTCTGAAAAATTAAGACTGATGTTTGAGAAGGCTTAAGCAAGTTTGGATGAAACTCATGAAACAATTTTTGATTTGGTATGCATTACTGTTTACTTTAGTAAAAAGAACAAATTCTTCTCTTTCTGCAAAGGTAAACACTATTTTTAAATTTAAAACCTACACAGAAATCTACTCAGACAGTTTAACTTACAAACATTTGCTACTAGTAAATCTTACCACAATATTAAAATCACCTCTATACTCTTGCAGATTTACATATTACAGCTAGTATTAACCTAGCCTGTGTTATTCCCGACATATCTTGGGGGTCGTGATCTCTGACCTCAACCGGTTGACCTGAGATATCTCGTTACAACAATGGAACATTTTTGAAACTAGATGTCACTAGTCATTATAATTTTTATATTAAAACTAACTTTCAAAATATAATTTGTTTTGGTTATTACATTTATTAATATATCTATTTTATTTGTGATAAATAGATAAATAACAAAAATAATTTCAGACAATACTATAGCCACAATTATTCTTTTCAAAATCTTTTAATTTTTGTTAGGCTTAACATCAATGAAAATTCAACATGGCATCACAGGCAACAGGTAAGGATTTAAACATCTGATATGTTAAAATAAGAATACAATTTATTGTAATCAATCAGTATTGACAATGAAGAAAAAACAGCTGTAAAAAAGTAGAAAAACCTCTTTGGTTTTAACAGAATCTAAAAAGGTTTATAGGGCTTATAAAAATAAAACATAAACAATGTCGATGATAAAAATCTCAAACCTTGGCATCTTCCAGGATACTCCCATTCTACAGAAAAATGGTATGAAATACCCAATAGTGAAACAGCACTTTTCTACAATGTTCTTTTATGGAAATTTATTCTTGATTCATCCCATATATAAAATTATTATTAGAGAATAAAATTTTTTAGAATATTAATTTGAGGAGGGAGTTGATCAGAACTTGGCAGAAGATAAAGTGAGGTATAAGAAAGCAATCTGCTGCAGCAACCCCAAAAGCATAGGACTAATAAGTTGAACAATAATAATTTGAGAAATCTAATGTTGTTCTATTGTTATTTCAGTTTAACAATAACAGTAATACTGAAAAAGTAAGTATAGAATGGTATGGTAATCAGCTACAGTTTTAATGGTAAATAAATTTATTCTTTGTCATTAAAAGTAAACTAATCAACATGACTTCTCTTTATTAAAATATATTTTTAATTTGCACAAATCAAATGAAAGTTTCAACTAATTTTTTCATTAAAAATTACCTTTCCTTCTTTCTTAACTTCATCCTTTTCAGTAGGTTGTTTTTCAGTTGGAGTTTTATATTTATCTTTTTCCAAATCCTCATTTGAGATTCCTTGAGGAGCACCTGCAAGTGTATGTCGTTTGTTCTCATCTAGGCGTTTATCAGGAGAAAGCTGATCCTTTGACTGACCTAAGGCTACATTGAAGATTATAGAAATCTTAATAAAAGATCATTGCATTTCTGACAATGAAGCAAAATGGCAAACAATTATATTTATTTAAACATCAATACATTATTTTTAATCATTTATAATACTTGCCTGACATTCCCCCATCCATACTCCTTGAAGCTAAATGTCTAGTACTTAATGAGCGTTCAAAATCAGGTGGTGGACGATCTATTAATGCACTAGCTTTCTTTGTTTGATACTGAGTTCTGCCAGAATAACGAAACTTAGAACCAAAGTATGGAAGAAGTTTTTGTTTAGGTGGAGCTACAGGTGTCATCAATCTTAAAAAAAGATTTATTAATTACTTTAATATTAAAAATAATTGAAATTAGAGAATATTAATACAAACTAAAAATGAATTTGTTTTAATGAAAGAAAATTATCAAACAATTACAAAATACACACAAAAATAATTCTTAAATAGCACATTAATACTATAAATTTATTTAATGTCTATAGACAAATCCAAAACACTGGTATAAATAATCATATTTTAAAATTTTAATAAATTATGAAACAAAAACTTGTTAACAATTAAGAAATAATTCTATTTCTTGTTTATACACATATTTCTGCTTGTAAGATACCCACAAATACAAAAATAGGGGTGAGTTTTAGGGGTCTGGAATGGATCAGAAATATTCCCATTAATTTCAATGGGAAAAATTGATTTGAGATACAAGTCTTTTGAGTTACAAGCTTGGTCTTGGAATAAATTAAACTCGTATCTCAAGGCATTACTGTATTTAGATTGAAAGTCATACTTTCATAACTATTTCAATTAAAGAGTATGCATTTTGAATTTGTCAACCTCTCAGTCTAAAATATGCTAGTAATTATTCTGTCAAATATTCTAAATATAGAAAATATAAAATAGCACTTTTATACATTTATTGTCCTCTAAATTTTTTCCTAAAAAATTAGAGAATGATCATAAAATAAAAAATCATATACTAATAATTCAGATTATTAGTATCAATTTCATAAAATATACTCATATACCTGAAAAATGTATGATGTTCTACACAAACTTTCCACAACCTTTTAGCTGCTCTATGATTGGCTAGTTTAAATCCAATTGTACTTTCAAATTGTTCAAACTAAAAAGACAAAAATTATGAAATATATATTATCTGAATAAATTTTTGAACATGAATAATTCTTCATATAAATGAGCATTTTTAGAATAAATAATATGCAATTTTATCATAATAATATTAAAGTTTATTAAGAAATATTTAGCACTAACTGTAACCTATTACTTAACCTAGTAACATCAAAATTACTAAGAAAAATATCATATCCAGACCAGTGGTTCTCAACAATTCTGGTGTATTGGAACACCATTCATATACTTTATTACATGGAGCAGTAGCATCAATATATTCAAAAACTTGATAAGCAATTTCATGTTTACTATTCTGATGAAACAATAAAGAACTAAACCAAATAAACTTTATTGTACTGAATAAAAAAATAAACATGAAATTGCCTACAAATAATGTGTAGTACATTGAAATATATTTGTAATAAAAGCTTTAAAGCCTTTTTTTTTATGTGGAACATTTGAAGCAAGATTGAAGAACACCAGTTAAGCTGTTCTAGCTGTATCTGCATTGGTATATAAATTACATGCATACATATTACAATTATTTTGTATATATGACAATAAAATTCACTGATCATTACATTTCTTGCCCACAGACAATGATTCAAATAGTCCCTACTTGAAATATCTACTGTAATAACAAGAAATATTTTTATATTTTAAAATAAAAAATAACTTACCTCGCCAGGTCGAATTTTGATATAAAAATTGTTCCTTTTATATGAGACTTTCAGAATTTTAGGCCACGCAAATCTATTAATACGTAATCTTTCCCTATACACCAATAATCCAGAAGCACACACTCCTAACATGATATCAATACCTTCGGAATCTTTAGCATGGTGTAAGTCAACTCCATACATAGCTAATTTTTTTGCATTGTCTAAATAATGAACTTCAGCTTCTGCTGGTGTTTGACCTCTGAAATGATATTTTGTCAAGACAATTTTAAGCTTAAGAAAATTTATTTAATTATTAAATTAAATTTTTTACATAAATTAAAATAATTATATTCAATTAAAACACATTTTACATAAATATGTTTACATAAATATCAATTAAACATTTAGCAATTTCATTTAAAAATTAATGCTGAAACAATGTTAATCTTATTTATAATAGTGTATATTTTTTATGATTTAAATAAATTCAAAATTAAATATTTGAATTGTATGTCTCCAATTGTATTTGTATACAGGGTGTATCAGTACAGTGGTTACAAACTTTCAGGAGAGATAGAGTGCACCTAGACAATGGGAAATCACATAGCAATGCATGGTTGGAAATGCTTTCCTGGTGCGATAGTGACGACACAAAACACAAGAAAGAAAGGATACAAACAGGCGAGAAAACATGTTTATTATTCTTAGTACAGCAAAAATCAAAGAAGGTGTTCAAAATTATGACCCCAGGCCGTGATGCAGGCCTGACATCTCCAGCACACTGAAGATCTAATGTTGCCGAAAATACTGGATGTGTCCTGGACTTCCCCAGCAGCTGCCACGATGCATGCAACAAGTTCCTCAGCACTGTTAACTTGAATTTCATACACCAGTGCTTTGACGTCCCAGCATTTTTGCTGTACTAAGAATAATAAACATGTTTTCTCATCCTGTTCATATCCTTCCTTTCTTGTGTTTTGTTTTGTCACTACCGTGCCAGGAAAGCATTTCCAACCATGCATTGCTATGTGATTTCCCATCATCTAGGTGTACTCTATCTCTCCTGAAAGTTTGTAATTACTGTACTGATACACCCTGTATTAAATTATATATCACATATCTCTTGTTTTGCCCAAGAATACCATCAAATATTTTTAAAAACAGAACAATTTTGTTGATTAATTGATTGCTAATTATTCATTCAAACTAAAATCTAGTCAGTCAGTTATGTACCACCATGATTTTTTTTAAATCCATATTTTTTAAACTAAATTTTATATTAAAATCTAGTTTGAAAATTTATATAAAAATTGTATCTGTAAGATTTTCTTCAAGTTTATTATTTATGGCACTTAAAAATGAAATGCTTATTTATCTTACTTGTGTTGTTTGTGCAACTCCATAACTTTTTCTTCTAGCTCAGCAGTTTGGTTGGGTGCAAAATGAAAATTTGACAAATAATTTGTTCCATGTTCTTCATATTCATAATCACCCAATTCTGCTTGTACCAAAAACGAGCCAAGTAATGCATGTGTCACAAATGAGCAAGGAAGTCTGTAAAAATCAAAAAATAGTTAATGTTTTCTAAAATATAGTAAATCTCTTAATATTCAAAAAGTACTGAAAACATGAAAATTTAATATAACAATTAATATAAGAAAATAAATACTGCATTCACATAAATATTAGCAAACTTTGAGGAATAGCAACTTTTTTTATTAATTAATTGCAGTTGTAAAATAATAAATAATCTAAAATGTTATATGTATTGTGTATGTACATATGCTGTAGCATATATATTTAATGTACACATCTTTTAATATAGTTTTGTTAACAAAACTTTAACTTATTTTCATTTTAAATTGTGAATAAGGGAAAAAATTTCTTTTCTTGTTCATATAAAAAATAAAGATACAACTTTCCACTGATGATATAAATAATATCTTTACTTTAGTCAATTTTATAAGCCAATAAAATTATGTATAGAAACCACATTTATAAATGATGATAAAAAACAGAAGTATTTACATTTAAATATAGAAAAATAGTAATCAAATGGAATTACTAAAAATATACAGGGTGTTTTTGAAACTTTAACAGCATGTTCTATGAGTTGTAAAAATAAAAAAAATTTCAAATAAGGGAAGGCCTGAAAATGCTTCATTTTGAAATAATAGCAATTTTAAAATTAGCTGCACTTAAAAATTTTACATAATATAAATTAATAGCAAGCTATATTTTGAAGTCTTTGTTTTCAACAGATATTTTAAGTATTCTTTAATACGATCAAGTTACTCTAACTCAGAAAAAGTGGATATTTCATTTTATGCATGGCTGAACTAACAGCATTTGCATAAAGTGCAATGATTGTAAGGAGAACTTTTCAAACTGCTGTAACCTGAAAAAAGTGCTTTTGGACCTATGTTTATATGGAATTTTTTCATTTTTATGAAACTGTAGAGCAAGCTGTTAAAGTTCAGCAAGACTTTTCAAAAACACTCAGTATATACTTAAGTTTAATCTTTTTCAGTATTATTTACAAATATTCCTAATCTAATTAAAGTTAATATTAAATGGATACTTACATAAGATATAAATTCACCTAACATATATCATTAAAAATTTTATTGGTTAATGTAATTGGATTGAAAGTAATTCAATATGTTTGAAAAATTATTCTATATTCAGGTAATGCATTAATTAAGGCTAATGTAATGATTATCAACATAAATGTTAAGTTATACAGTAGTGGCTTTGTAAACTGCATGAAACAAAATTCTATGAAAATATTTTAATTTTAAAAATAAACACCATCATTTCAGAAATCCATAGACTTGCAAAAAATTATAAGGATAGCATCATCGATAACATCATAAATGTAAGAACACTTTCCACTGGATGACAGGGTTAGCAATCATCCAGTGGTATAAGCAATTGTAATATGCTTTTTGTAAGCAAAATGAAAAGATTTTGACAGTTAATGCCACATAAAAAATTCATAACTACTGCTTTAAATATAAAATGCTGGTTTATCTGATGAGAAAGCACTCTGATCTAGATTATGAATCAACAACTATGCATTTGTTACAAAGGTAATGTAAACATGGCAACATCAAAAGCTGGATCAGGATGCTTAAGTGTCTCAGCCTGTTAAAATGTATTGCTAGTTGTTCCAAACAAAATAAAGTAGAAAGAGTAAAAGCAAATGTAGAAATTGTGATAATGCCTGTGCAACATAGGTTTACAAACGTATCATCCACATATGAAACCATTACTAAGAGAAAAATGGACAGACAATAGCTTATCTACTTTAACCTGGAACATCAGAATTCTGTTATGCTTTTGGATGAATCAAAATTTAACTTGCACAGCTCTGATGATAAATCTTATATTAAGCACAGAAAAGACAAGTTCTATAACAAGAATAGTTTGATGCATATAGTAAAGTTTCTTGGTATGAATCCTTACTCCAGGTGTAAACAAACTACAAGTCTGCAAGTTTTGTGCTATAAAAACATCTTATCTGCCGAGCTAATTCTAACAAAGAGGAAACAATTGTGACACAAAATGTGCATCTTCTAGGACAGGGCTTCTTAAACTATGGGTTGTGACCCATTTGGGGTCGCGAGATTTTAATGCAAAATATTGAAAATAATTTGTGAGAGTTTGAAAATGGCATGCTTTGTGTCATAGGTTTCGTGAGTTGCGCTTTGTGTCACTTCTGGTGCAGCGAGACAATGATTCAGCAACACTGATTGTAGTGTGAACTAGTGCAGTGTTGTTACTTTTCAGTGTATTCAGTTGTCTCTGTTCCATTATAACACAAGAGTGAACTGTGGTAGTACACCATTATTGTTTTTGCAAATTTGTATGTATCTTTATTTTATATTTTTTCTTGGGTCACGAAAAAAATCACAATCATAAATGGGGTCGTGAATAAAAGCTTAAGAAGCCCTGTTCTAGGACAACACTGTGGAACGTAATCATGCCCAAGATGGTGAATACAGTACTAATATATCTCTACAGTTTGATGATGTCATTGTCACTTACACAGATGTACAATTTGTTGCTTTGGTAAAAGCACTTGATTCTGAATATATACAGTATGATTTAAGTTGTCTGAATAAAACAATTCTGTTTTTTGTTTGAAAAAATTCTTACAGAAGCTACGTACAAAATAGCAAATATTGACATATTTAGTGGAAAAAGTGTTATGCAAGTGTGTTGTCATAGCTTCTTTCTGTACAATGGTTTTGTTGCAGAATATTCTGATCCCCCTATATAGGGGGATCAGAATATTTGTCCAGAACAAGATTTGTTTCTTCATCTTCATCACTTGTTCTTTGCTGAAGTAGAGAACCAAGAATGTGTCATCTTCAGGTAAGTGTCTGCAGACACAGTTAAGTCATTGTCAACATCAATAAAATCTTAAAATGCTACTTTCTTTAATGAGAAAGTCCCAGTCTTCTTCAATGTAATTGATAGATTCTGATAAAAATTCAGATTTATCCAAAGCATCAACAAATTGTTGACTAAACCACATTTTGCAATGATACTTCATGGTAACTTCATTCTTTGTTAATCATTTCCATTGCATCTAGTAGGTTCATTCCAAACATTGCAAGTTATTGAAGATGGAACATATCTTTCATATCATGAAATTTTTGTATCAAATTTAAAATTTTTAATGATTTCCTGATCTAAACATTGCATTCTAGAAGTTTTTTTGGTGGTAAAAACTAAAATATTATAACTTTCAGAGTAGTGATTATCAAATGAGCATTGCAATTGTTGATTAAAAGAATAATTTTTCTATTTTTAGCAATCATGTTGGTGTCTAATTTTTTTAGCCAGTTAGAAAAAAAGCTGATATCATTCATGCTTTCTTATTTGCTGCATTTTGTGTATTTTAACATTTTAACATCTTGACATTGAAGAAACATTGACATTTTGAAGATTTTTCCAATTAATAACAGCAGTTTTTCAATACCTATCATGTTCACTCTCAAGAGTTACATGCCCTTTACTTTTTTTACCTCTATATCATGAATCACTTTTGAATGCTCTTCTTTTATCTGGCAGATATTTAAAAAATAAGGCCATTTTGTATGCATTGAAAATGTAATTTAGGCTATAGTTCTGTGTATTTTCTTGTAAACTTTTAACCACTTCATGCAATCCACCTCTTATACTTCTGCACTTTCACAAAATTTTATTGAAAACTATTCCATTTCTCCTCTTAATTTATTTAGCCATCTACTGCTTAAATTTATTCTTGTTTACCATTTCTACCCACTTCAAAATGAAAATAGTGAATACCCTGATTTGGCCACTATCAGCTTTAAAAATCACTATTTAAAAAATAATGATTTTAAATTACTAAGATTTATTGGTCAATTTGCAGGTAAGAATAAGATAATTACTTTAAAAGTTTAATGGCATTTCAAACAACCTTATGACATGCAATCAGAGGCAAAATTCTATACAATATACCAATCTTTAAATATGTGATATTATCATCCATCTCTCAAAAACACAAAAGACAACATAGATAATTAGATTTGAAGTCTCTGGATCTTAAATTTTTAGTTAGTGACATGTGATCTCAAAACTACTTCAACTTATAAATACACAGAATGCATTGAGTTTATGGGATTTAAGTTGGGACAAAAAAAAATCTTAGCTAGTAAGAATTTAGAGTTAAGGAAACTTTACTTATTAAGTGTCTACCATGTACATTTCAGTAATAGAAAACATTAACAAACAGCTCAAGTTAAATAAATGAAAGGTATCAAATTATTCCTGATTATTTTCAAAAAAAAAANCTCCCCAACTCTGATCGTCCGCGTGTTCGACGTACCAATTTAGGGCTTCGTCTTCTAAATAGTCTCCCATTAATATTATTTTGTCCTTTTCGCTCCATTCCATGTACTCCGCCACCGTTTCAAATCTCTTCACCCAATTCTCTGCTTTAATCTTGTCGTTATTACCCCGAAATATTTGAACTTTTGGCTTACTTTTCGGTGATTCTTTATCTTTTTCTCTCCTATCCGTTCGTTCGGTGTCGTCTCCGTAATCGGTAATCCTTTTCTTCGGTCTCATCCTGTCGACTTGTAAATATTTTATGTAAGTTCGAGGAGGAAATGTCTTTAACTATATGAAGTTCCTTTGTCTCGTCCTACTATATTCGAGGTCTTTCACGTGGTCCGTTCTTTCTGACTTCCCAGAAGCTTCTGACCTTATTTTCTATTGTTCCACGTCACTCCTTTTGTTTCAAGCGCCTCCGGCTTTGGAGGGCCAATCACACCTTTACATATACACCTGAAACACTTATTGATGTGAAGATATTCCTGAATAAAAAGAGTGATGCTAAAGATGCCCAGTGTCTACCTATGCACCCAGTTGTGAAGCAAAAAATAATTAAACAAAGACATGGTTTCGGAATAAGTCAGTAAAAACTTTATTATATGCAACTTTACATAAAATAATCCTCATTTATCATCTATAACTTTTTTACATTTCTTTTATGTTAATCTTGATGTTTAAAGATATGTCTATTCCTGATAAAATTAACTTATAAAATATATTTCTTATACCAAAGTTTGCATATATCATTCTAGCATTCATATTAAACACTTTTGTCTTAAACTTTTATATATTCAAATATCTCCATTATTTTATGAGTTTACAATTGCTTTTTTCATATTTGATTTAATAAAAGAAACCCAAGATTTTTATAAGATTAAAGTAAACATAATAATAAATTATAAGTTCACTAATGGATATATGTTTAATAAATTATATTTAACAAAAAGATTTATTTAAAACCTGCTCAAAAATAAACATAATTCCTATTATATGAAACTAATAAGTTTCAATAATAAAAAATTATAACACTACTTCACAGAACATAGTTTAAAAGTTAAAAAACACTTACTTTCCAATAAGAATATCACTTCTAACTTGTAAACACAGTTGATATCTAGAAATTAAAAAAATTACATGGCAGTGCATTTATTTTTTTAATACATTAATATTCAATTTTCAAGTTAATTATTTGAAAATTCAAAATTTAATATAAAATGGGTTGATAACTGCAATATAGTTTTCAATTATTTATTATTATTATTATTATTATTCCCCTCTGCTCAAAGTTAATATAAACAAAGTACATTGTAAATAGTATGCTGATATGTGTTTGAATGTGTGTGTGAGAATGCGAGAGAGAGTGAGCATGCAATCAGAATAAAATGAATACGAGCCACAAAAAAAAGTAATCCTTATGATTGTTGGCTATGGAGAAGCAATCCTTATACTAAAAGATGTAATCCTTACACTTGTCTGGCACCAAATGGAAAATGGGCACCAGAAATGTTTTTTTGCACCAAGTTCCATTAGCCAGACACAATCATGTCAGGGAGCATGGATATTATCACTTTGACCCATTTTATCTTGTAAACGAGTTAGGGATCCCATTTTTTATTACATTTCTAGATTCCTCATCATAATTAATGAAAAATGGAAACATTTAATCAACATCAATCAATCAAATTTTGAGAATAAATACAATTCAATAAGCTACATAGAAGAGGCTTCACTAACACTTTACCTCAATAATAATGTTTCTTGTTATTCATTATCTATGAATAAAAATTCATTCCTAGTTTTTAAGTTCATATAAAATGTAATTCTAAACTTACTGAACAATGTGACTAATAAAGATACATTGTTTTTCTGATACTATAAATTATGAACATTAATAAGGAAAACAAGTTTTTGTAATGAATTTAATAATATCAAATTTTCACGATTTAATATTTAAAAAGAAAAATCACAATTAAAATTTTACATTATTTTAAGTTTTAAAAATTTAATTACATTTAACATTTAACTTACCGTGTAATATCTTCTTGAAGTTGGGAAGGATCAGGTGGATAAAATTTCACTTCAAACTGAAGTACCCATGGTGTATCTGAAATTTTAAAATCATATTAAAAATGATATACTACATGTATAAACTTATTTAATGTAATTTATACAAAGATTATATTCTATAATATACACATCTTAATGAATCAAAGTCATACGATGGATGTCACACCAATAGTTTTACTAACTTAAGAGAGAAACTGTTACAAAATAAAGGCATTAGATGTTCAAAGAACATTTTATTTTTCTGCTAGTGCTTTCAACGCAGTAATGGGCATCATCCTCAGGCAGAAACAGAATTGAACAAAACTTTTCTAACAGGTTTTTTAATTGAAAAACGGAATGGCATTAACCATTTAGAACATTACATTTAGAACAAGAAACAATAAGTTTTAAATTGAAGTGCATGTAACAACTGCACACATGCACCATAATACACAGATTAAGTGCAAGAAGTAAATGGAGCTAATACTGGTGTTTTAACGGTTTGTACTGATACAGCTGAATATTTAAGATGTAAAACTGGAGATTAAGTCCAGTTATAAAAACAAGATTTAGATTTAAACCACAGTTTAGCCTCTTATTTGCATAGCTCTAAACCATTACTTTTGATTATCATTCTTGTTATCATCACAAGTAAGGTTACCCACCTCAGGTATTTCGCTATCATAGTTGCATTATTAAAGTATATAAATCTTGTATCATATTACAAGGATGTGTATGAGAGTACATGTGTAACAAAAAAAATGATACAATGTTTTCACTACTTGAATACTGTATCCAATGGTTTAGAGTTTTTAATGTGTAATTAATTAAAACATAAATATAAAATGAAATGCTCAGTATTCATTAAGTTCATTCATCTTATTAAATTATAACAATTAGGAATGACAATCATCATTTCAGTATTACACTAATATAGTATACTTAATTAAATATAATAATNTTTTTAATCAAAGAAAGTAAATATTATAATTTACCTATAAAAAAAATTAATAATAAAATATTCTACATCTTCACATAATTATTTGCATTTGAATGCATCAAATTGTTATTAAATTCGATTTTTTTTTAAATTAAGCACATCTATGCTCATCTTAACACATCATATTGTCTATCATGAACGTATTTTCGTAATAAAACCTTTAAAAATAGTAACTTATATGACAAGAGATAATTTTTATTAAAATTCTGATTTAAAGAATCCATTTAAAGCCAATAAAATGCTAGTTTTATTTTCGTCGTTAATTTAACGTGACGTCGGAACACGTTTTAACTGAGTAAATATCGTTGTTTAATACAGGAAACGATAAGGGTAACGGAAAGAAAATGTTACATAAACACGTTGTCGAAGAACAAAACTTTGCAGAATTTTAACACAAGAAAACGCATATTATTTTCAAAGAAAACAAAATTAACTTTGATTAAATAACTATATTATTAATATGTTATAACGGAATATACTTTGTGAAATAGATATTATTTCGTTACGTCACAGAGAAATTTTACAGGTTTCTTTACCGTGCGATGTACATGTTTATTGTTTTGTTACGTTAAATGTTACACAGGAAAGAAGACTTAACGTCTAAAAGATCAACAAAATCAAAACGCATGAATGGGAAGAGTAGCGTGTATTTTTAATATATACAACTTGAAATATCGAAGAAAGGGAAGTGTAAGATACAATAGATTAGCGTCATATCAACAAAAGAACTTTCAACTCAAGCTCAAAAGCAAATTTAATACTTTTTAGATTATTTATTCAGTTGTATGTTGCGTTGCGAGACTTGTCTAAATTTTTTTTATTAAAATTTATAAAACCAAAATATTTTTTTGTACAAAACCACTATCCTCTTAAATTTAACAGAATGCTTTTGGAGGAGAAAGACTCAAATTTTCTTCTTAGAAAGTGTGCATTCAGGCATTACTTTGTCTCATTTTAGCATTCTCATATTTCATTTTACTTCAGACTATTATTTTCATCAATAGGTATTTTTGTAAGAAATTAGTTACATCATTTCTTTCATTATTCTATCAATTGGAAATAAACAAAACAAAACATTTTTACTTTAATAGAGAAGTTGCGGCTGACGTTTTCAATGCGAAAACGTGTATGTTAAATGTTCAGCGCCACCATCCTGTAAGCCTAGAAGTTTAACAATGACAATAGCATTTGGAATGTCTGTGGGATCATGCTTGATGTTCCAAATGCCACTGTCAAAACTTCTAGGCTTACAGGATGGCAATACTGAATGTCCGATGTACATGTTTTCACGTTGAAAATGTCAACCGTAACCTCTCTAATAACTTTCTCATATTGCAATATGATAAAGCTACAAAAAACAAAACTAAACACATTATATATAAAACAATTCCTCACTTGAAAGTTCTGTTCCAATGACTAGGTTGTTGAGCAAATTGGTTGTTAAATGAAAAGTTTAATCATATTTACTTATTCTAAATGAAGCATTGAGTAATTATCATCAATTTCACCATCTCAGTGATAAATTATGCATATATATACTCTTCTTAGGATAACATAATTATAATGACTATGATAGTCATATCAAAATAGATCATGTAATTTATGATTCCAAAAGATCAAAATTTTCAAATAAGGATTCTTAAAATATTTTATGAATGAAATACACTCAGATAAATCAAAATATAGTTTATATTTAACTTTAGGCATATGTTAAAAATTTTTAAACAATTATAAGCTGTTATTTTATTAGACATTTTACAGTGTAAATATTCTATTTTCCTAGACAAACAGCATACATAGTTTGTTTTTAATTGCTCTTAGTAAAATAACTCTCAGGTTTTCAAAAACTGAACAATAAACAATGCACACTTACTTTTAACTTGCTTGCTAATTCTTTTTTCATTGTTTAGCCAACTCTAAAATTTAAAAATTTTATCTATTACAATTTTAATTTTTCATAAGCAGGTATTATATTTTAAAAAACTTGATTTAAGATTTTACTGTTCATATTTGATACAAATTCCAAATATTTTATTTGAAATGTTTATAATGTTAAATTAAATTAATAAGATTAGTTTAACTTATTTATTTTATTTTACAAGTATTAGAAAAAGTCTAGTGACACCAGATATCCAACCCCCTGTTAACAAAAAGGACCCCCAAAAAACATTAAAAGTTCATTTAAAAAAAAGCACCTAACTGATGATAAAATATAACATATGATCTATAGTAAAAAATAATTTAAGTGATTTAAAACTACAAAGAAACATAACTAAATGAACAACTTAAATAATTGGACTATAACTCCGCTAATTTAATGATGATTACGAAGTAATTTGCTACTAAAGATTTGTACTAAATTTGACAAATATTTATTTCACTTAAAAATTTTCAGTCATTATATTAATAGATTAGTTAATATTAAAATGGTTATTCAAATATCAAATAGGTACATAACTTTTTTCAACTCACCCTGCAATTATCAGTATCAATGTAAGAAAGACCAAAATAATCTTTTTCAAGTAAATTTAAATGGTCACATATTTGGTCAAAAACTTCTTTTCCTTTAGCTCGTCTCTGAAAAACGAAAAAACAAAGTTTATCATCATCTAATTTAAATTTTAAAATCTTAATTATTATTTCAAATATATGAAATAATATTCAAACAAATTTCAAATTATATATACAATAGATCCTGCTTTTACAAAGTAATTGGTTCCTGGAAAATCATCATTAAGTAAATCATTGTAAAGTGTGTTGCCCTATTTCCCACCAGCTCAGTGTCAAATTGAGATCATGTCCTTAGAAATGATTTAGCTGCATATCATGCTGTATAGAGTTGGCCAACAAAATAATACTACACTTAAATATGGCATTTCATACAATCATAATCAAAATTTGCACTAGTGTAAAAGCAGAAAATTGTAAATTGAGCAATGAAAGCAGGAATCTACTGTAAATAGTCATAATTTATCCAAAATAACTTGATAAATTTTAACAACACACAATATTTTCTCTGTATTTCATTAACAAGAAATAACAGCTTATTTAATTTACTATTCAAATTTTAAAAACTATTTGAGATTTAGTCTTTCTTATTTGATATACTAAAACTATTTATTTTTTGTGAATGTGTACTTGTTTTATTACTGTAAACACAATTTATCTTACTTTTTGAACCATCTTATGAATCAACTTAAACTAAAAGTTAAATAATAACCAAATAACTTACTGGATTTTTATTGGGCTATTTTAAGTCTAATTAATAATCCAAAACATTAAAATGATTACAAATAAATTTGTTTATAATTATTAACTTTATCCCATGATGACAGACTAGCCATCTACTTTTAGCTGAATTACTTTCATTTGGATTATTAATTAGCTTTAAAACACTGTGATAACCAAATGATCTGCTGGATTATCCAAATCAATCAGGTTAAGGATGTTATCAAATATCTAAAGTTTAAGGTCACATATTATTTTTTAATGTACTGGATACAGAATTTTTTTTAATTTAGAAAAAAAAAACAGTATAATGAGCATTTTTGTTTTAGAATTATAAAAAGTTTTTTTTAATCAATTCAATAATAAAATAAATTGTCAATAAATGTTGTATGATCATTTTACTATTATGACAATCTTTGATCTGAAAGATAAAAACTAACATTTAATCAAATATATTTTATCTTAATATTTTAAGTATCCATGCATTGATAATTTTTGACTTCGTCTTCAAAGCACTTTACACAACTGATAATGAGAATTATTAAGCTTATTCATCAATAACTGTATCGATCTGCATTACAGTCAAATCTCAATAAAGATTCCCCTAAATTGCATCATACTTGTAAAGTGCCAATGAATATCTGAACAGATCTTGCTAAAATATTAAATAAAAGAATCCTTCAGTATCTATGAGTTACTAAATGTGTGCAGTTTTAACTGCACACATTTAGTAACTCATAGATACTGAAGTGTATAATTAGATAGACAGTGTATAATTAAACTTATGTACAGTAATGTGATCTACACAACTCTTATTGTTTGAGACATTAGCATCACACTCAATTTAGTGCTAATGCTAATTTCAGAAGCAAGTGATAGTGCTGAGTAAACTTTGAAAGCATATTGTATGCTTGTTGATTCCAGCGTCAATAAAAAGAACTTGAAATGTTTTTTTATGTATTAGAATCATACTTGATACAATATTTTCTATATTAGTGAATAAAAAGTTGACATACATAAATTAATAGTAAGAAAAAATCAGGTTAATTAATTAGAACACAATTTACAAGTGAATCCACTGTAAATTAGAAGCTATTCCCAAACTTTTATTATTAAAATTTTTTAACCTAAATATTTGTCAAAGTAGTATCATATAGCCCTTTTTTTAATACAAAACTATAAAAATTATCTACAAAATGAGTTGATAAAAATTAATAATAATTCAGATCAAAAAGTAAAACTATTTTATTCGTTTAAAATGTTTTTTATCCAAACAAATTCAGTAATAAAAATTATTAATTTTCTTGACATTTAGAACAAAAATTAACAAACTAAACTAATGTGTGTTACATATGTGCATGCACACATGTTATAGAAGCACATTGCATATGAGATAGTAGTTGCATACCATCATCACTTTTATTCTTTTATCCTTTACATTGATACATACAATATTTTTTTTTCTATTTTAAATATTTGAAGAATCAAAATATAAAAATCAATATAATACTTATTATAGGAAAAGAACAATGTTAATAAATAAGTACTTTCAGTAACAAAGTAACTTTTCACATATTTATAATAATGAATAAAATACATAATATTTCTGGAATACTTTTTACTTTAATTGATTATTCTTAACATAATATTGTTTATTTGATGATATTCCATTTACACAAAACAAATCCATATCATAGCATTGCAATGGCACCAATAATAGATGTCAAAATTTAAAATGCCATTTTAAGACAAACTATCATAATTAACAGAAAAAAATTTTTCTGATCTAAAATTTTTCTAATATTTTTTTTTAAAATAATTTTGAACATTTTTCTGTATGTCCATCAGAAATTCAATGAGGATGGTTGGGTAACAAGTAGTAAGACCTGACATACATGGGGCAGACAGTTCATGAAAAAGTCCTGTTTGAAGATCCCTAGAGAGGCAGACTGACATCACGCATCAGCCATCAAGCCACCAGTCTTTCTAATATTTCAATATAATGGGTAGATGGCTGAGATAATTAAAGCATCAGCCTACCACACTAGGAAACTCAAGAAAAAGTCTGGACAATTAATCCCAGAAATTTTTCATGAGCAGTCTAGTCTGTCTTGGTCATATCAAGTTCCATTCCTCAACACTTGGCTACCCCTCATTGTGGACCTGACTAAACCCCAATGACATGGAATAAGAAGACCCTATTAATGTTTACAAGATAAAGAGTAAAAAATATTTATTTAGACATACACTGCAACATACCATAAGAGACATTAATTGGTTATATATCCTACATTTTAATCTGGTGACATGTCACAAATGAAAAATGAGATAATTTAGAAAAGCAAAATGGAAATGATTAAAAAAATAAAAATGATTGTGACATTACATCAATTTTTTTTCTGCATTCAATAACAGAAAACTTAAAAATTTCTCAAATGAATTTTCTATGACTTTTTCATTTTACCCTATTGCAAGTTTTCTTCAATATTTTTCCATTTTGGCCTTCTATCCTATCGATCTCTTTTCAAATACTAACGTTAGATAGTCGAATGTTAACACGTTCATGAGATCCATATTTAAATCAAACTTCACTACTACATGAACTGTAACGAAACAAAATTTTATTATATGTCGTCAGAGCAACAGTATTGTATATCCATACTTCTCGTCAACAGACAGACAAGGCAATAAACTTTCATGCACTTTATACAAGCATTGCCAGCCAACTCCAGTTAGGAATAATGTTGTCAGACAGTTTTCTGAAATTCTGGCAGCAGCAGCCACATCATAAACTGTAAATAAACTTCTCATTCAACTAAGAAACTTTTTAAAATTAAACAAGCATTTTTTAAGAACTTTTAAAAATCATATACATCCAGTATTAAAAATTCTTTAAATACAGCTTTGAAAATCATATTGTTTTATTTTTGTTTATTGTGATGTAACATTTGGTTGACCATTCTAATTGTTCTTGCCCAGAGGAAATATTATATACTAGCTGCAAGGACCCGCTTCGCTGGGTTTTTATTTGTACGTAATATAGTTTTTTTATATATATATAAAAGACTGTGTTTTTCTAAGTAATCTAGAATCTAGCTGCAAGGACCCGCTTCGCTGGGCAAAAAGTAACGATAGTGAAGATTAAGATAATTACATTATAGCTAATCTTACCTGTTTTCACAGAATGCAAGAATTAGGTCCCCCGTTTCCAGACTAATTAGAGAATTTTTACGTTTAGTCAAACAAACTATTTTCAACGTTTCTGGAATGTTTACAATCGTTCTATAATCGAACCAATATTCAAATTTTATGTTCGAATTTAATTCGAACAAATTCAAACAAAACATTCGAAATAGAAAACCACTTTCAACCACTTTCAGCCTCATATCTCCCGCACCTTTATAGCTATCGAGACACAACCACCCCTATGCACGAATGGAGACTTGGGGCTACTACAAATTCACGTGCGATGTGTAGTTTTTGCGGAAAAGTAAAATATAGGGACATACACGTCCATTTATATATATATATGATGAATGATTTTTCAGATTTTCAAAAAACTCAACTTTTTTCATAAAAACATGCACTCTATTTGTGACAAGGATAATCCAGTGTCTTCTGTCTAAATCTTTATGTAGAATTAAAGTAAAAGGAAAAAATTTAATTAATATATTTTCTAAATAGTCAAGATTAAATATGATAAATGTAATTAAAATGAAACAGACGATTTTGCATAAGTTAAAATTGATTTACAAATAAATTACGATTACGAAAATTTTAGTTTATCAAATAAAATTTCTGCAAACTTTTTGAACCCCAACTGAGAGTCCCGAAACAATGTGTTCCCAAACCATATAATTCAGTCCACCATAACTGAACTATTGCCAAGGTTAAGCAGCCTTTTAATACACATCCTTGAAATATCAATACACAGTTAAATTAGTTATTTGTACTTAACATTAGTGAAAAATTTTAATTTATGACAATTTAATGACATGAATACCAAAATACATTATTGTCATTTTAACAGAAACACATACAAATTGTTATGACTATCTCTGGAGTATATTTTGTCAGGAATTACTTAGTGTACAGAAATCCAAAATTATAGTGAACTTAACTACAATACAGTACAATCTTTAATATGACCATTTGCTAGTTGACAGGCAGATGTTACCAGCATACACAAACACTCACTAGTTCAAACTCCAGTTACAAATTTGAACATCTTCCACTAAATGTGCACGATATCAAACTTGAGCATGTTCACAATATTAAAGGTTGTTATGCTTATCATCTCAGACTGCTCATAAAAAAAATCATACACACACAGTATTTTATACACAATAATGTATAAACATATATCAGTCCTATAAAATTTTCCATCAAAACTTCTATATCTCCCACTTTCTGCTAAATTTAATGGAAATCCACCAAATTGACAATATAATTATAGTGTGCTAAGATATCTTGATCAGTAATCTAATGTGTTTTGCTGTGTTATGATCAGTTGGAAAAATGGTAGAAGACAACTGAAATTATTTTAAAAGGGCTGACAATTTGAGAACTCTAAATCACAGTAACATAGGAAGAAAATAAAAAGAAAGTAATCATATGTTTTTGATTAATACAATGTACTGAAATGCAAACAAACGTTTCCCCCCCAAATGATTAAACCACTGGAGTTATCTTATTTCCAATATTATGGAAATTTCCTTAATCTGACACTATTCCAGTCCTATGTATGTCAGATTACTGAAATTATACTTTTTTGCACTCTAGCTTCAGATCATCCTAACTACTTTATATTATTATATAATATTGTATCCAACTGAAGAGGGATTAATGTATTTGTCCAAAATGCATATTGGAATCAATAAAATTGAAATGATAAAACAGTCACCTTAAAGTCATTTGTGGTTGTTACAATAAGTTTGGTTTTGAGACATATTAATAGTCAATTGAAAATTTTTACTTTATTTCTCTTAACGAACTGATATTCTACATTTCAAAAATGTTATCCGCTGCTTTTTATACTGATATTAGGAAAATGTACATCTATAATATCATTATAACTAATTGATCTAATGATAAAAATGATCTTTAGATCATTTTGTTATACTAATGATAAAAAATAAAGATCATTTTTATCCTACTAAATTTATCCTACTAAATTTTTATCCTACTAATATCAATTTTTCAATAGTTCACTATAAATGTAATGAGTAGATAATTTATATTTTATATATCATTATGTAATAAGAAAATTATACATGTTAAAAAATATTTTTATAATTGTACAAATTAAAAAGATTGATATCAGAAATCTGGCCATAAACTGAATTTATGTGAAATAAATTGGATAACAACAATAATTCACATAAAAATACAATCCAGGGCAATCAAAACTTTTTTTAAGATTACAGATACTTACTTCAACGTGACTTTCAAAATCTGTTCCATCCAATAATCGAACTTGACAAATCATTAATCTTCCTCTGTTCGCATTGTCTTTTTTTACTTCTTTATTGTTTTTAGCATTAGTTTCGGGGCTTGAATTCGTATTTTTACCTTCTACTGGAGACTGAGCTTTCTGCTCTTTAGTGTCTCCTTTTTCTTCAGCCATCACAGTTCATCCACTGCTTAATAATAATTAAAAAAAAATCCATTTTACTCATTAAATATTTACTTTTGGTATAATATATGTATAAAAAGATCTAACTTAAATTTTATTATATCATGAGAAGAAAGATTTTTATACTTAAATGTTTCATTGTTAAAGTAATAGCAATCAAATCCTGATATTAATAATTATTAAACCAACTAAATTAATATTAAAATAAAATAAGTACAGTAGCCCCTCTTTATATCTCAGTTCAGATATATCGCACTTTTTTCTGGTCCCTCAAATTTTAAAAGCATTCAAGTCAATAAATTTTAAATTACCAATTGTCATTCATTTCTTTTTTGCAACAAAATACAGTATTTTATTCCTACCATTGTTCTTGAAACTACCACTGCAGGTGAAAAAATAAATTTGTCTAGATCTAAATAAGCAAAACAGGTGGACAGATCAACTATCAAATATGTTTCCTTTTAATATTAAAAGTTGTTTATTTATTGGTTTTAAGTAGTCTCCTCATTTACAAGTTTCTGTGAATTGGAAATTTTACATCTTTAATGTGAATTGACATTATAAAATTTCAAATTCATTGTGTAATGTGTAAGGAAAAGATTTCTTTATTTCTGAACAGAAAGTTCTAAACTTTTATACAGTAGTAAGTTTATTTTGCTTTTTAGAGAATTTTTACTCTATAATTTTATAAGTTTTGATGTTCTATTATATGTTCAATATTTATTTTTTAAATTTTCAATTACAGTATTTATAATTTTTATTAAAAAATATACATTACACAAATTTTTAATAAGTGATCTATTATGAAATACAGTACTGTATAATAAAATCGCAACTGATATTTTGTTTTTATATCACTAGTTTTTGTCTTTAATTGTCATTGTTAAAGTAACAATAATGCTAAATGGGCATTTGTGGTATCGATGTTTATGTAAACGTCAATTAATATGATATAATCATGAATAAAATTCAGTATTGAAAAACTATGCTTATTTTATATCAGAAACACCTGCTATTGAAAGAATAGAGGATAGAGATTCCATAACATGTATAATCTGTTTAGTAAAAGCCCAGAATTTTTAGTACTCAGTTATAGTGCACTGCTGGATATATCGTGCTTTTTCTTTGTCTCGCAACAAGCATGATATAATGAGGGGCTACTTTATTTAGAAAATAAATGGTTAGTAATATAATTCAGAATAGAACTGAGTCCTAGTATATAAGATACAGACAAGTATTCAGTTCCAATTTTTTTTAAGATTTCTTTGAATTAATTATGTATTTAATCATTAAATTTCTATTTATATATTATTATTATTATTTATAAAATATAAAAATTCAATAGTAAGAAAATTTATATTTAGAATTCCCAAAAACAAAATCATATTTAAAATCCATAACTCTTAAAATGTTTTTGTTATTTATTAATTGATTTTTATCATAAAAACTATTCTTTTAATATATATGAATTATGATATTTAATACTCATACTTATATATATATATATATATACACATGAGTATTAACAAAGTATTATCTTTTAAGACTTATATATATATAAGCCTTAAAAGATAATTTCATAATTCTTATTAAAAATGAATGTATGTGTCTGCAAGTCATGATTCCTTCTAGGCAACCTAACTGCTGCTTAGACTGTCAGCTGTGTAGACAAATAAACAAATATTACTACTGAACTTATGAAAAGAAACTTAATAGAGAAAAGTGAGATTATTATGGCTTACAATTAATAAATAGTGTTAAATCCATTAACACAACTATTAAAAAAATGTGCAGTTGTTGCAGTTTAGGACTCATGGTTATGAAAAAATTTCATTGTTACTTTAAAAACTTATCCACTTATCAAAAGTAAATTTAGTAATAGGTAAAAATTTGTTTGATTTGATATGCTAAATTGTGCAACAATTTTAAGAAATCTGAAGTGAAAATGTTTTTAGTTCAATTAAAATTTTATATAATATAAAAAAATACTAAAAAAATTCACAAAATAATTGAAGAATACAAAAAAAGTATTCAAATTTCAGTCCTATCACACCCCAGAAACACAACAAAGTTGATTTTTATTGGGGTTCTCATCCATTTTAATATGTATAACAAAAATTTTTTTTCCTGTGATGATGGCACAATTATAAAAATATATTAATAAACAATGGCTAGGACAATAAACAAATTTAATATATTTTTAAAATTTGTACACGGCACTAATTAATTTATAAAATTCTTAATATTTGAAAATATTAAAATGTTGCAAAGTTATAATCACCATACCAGCTATGTCAGTAACTATAATATTTAATTATTTTAAGAAAGGTCTGCAAAAGTAAAAAAAAAAATATATATTAATAATACAAAAAACACAAAGTTGATGCTTGTAAAATAAAATCATTAAAGATTCATAAAAAAATCTACATTGATAGTCCAAATAAACAATAATCTGTGCTATATTACTTCAAACATAAATGTTTCCTTAAGCACCAATCACTAGATGTTTTTCCTTCGCGCGAGAGATTGATAGTGTGACCATGCATGCATACACAACATAAATTGTGTTAATGTACTTTGGTTTTGTTAATATAGCTTTTGACACATTGATTTAGATATATTTTTTTTTAATGTAAAAGTTATGAATAAAAGTTATGTTAAGAATAAAATTTATCTGAACTGGACAAAATAAAATATACTAAACTAGTCACTTGTAATAAGAAATTAATCAAGCTCAGTGATCTATTAACTAATGTAGTTTTTTCTTAAATAATTAATTCATGGACTACTTTCTTTTTAGTTTAATTAAACTAATATACTGTACATAGCTTTTAAAATACATTTTATGTTGGTTACAATAATTAAGAATGGTTTATAAAAAAAATTCATTTAGTGTCTGTTTAATAATTATTAGGCAACTTATGTTCTTAAAATCATGTACAATTGCTAACTGCATTTGGGGAAAGTTACATAGCTTTTATAAACATGAACAAATTTTTTTGCATACTTGTTAATTTATTTTTAAATCAATAAAATAAAAGTAATTATTAATTGAAATATAATTCGGACTTAATTGAATTCAAGACAAAAAATACTTTTAGTATTATATTTAATTTTATAAACATATTTAACTTTATTGATTAAATCAATATTACTAATATTATCAATACCAAATTAATCCTTAAAACTTTGTTACTAATATTTAACTTTAATTTCATTCATAAAACTGAAAAACAAATACTAAAGTTAGAGAAAAAAAAAATTTCTATTAATTTACAGTTCTTTAACAGTATTATATGAATTTATAATTCAATATTATTTAACTTATATTTAGCAACAACATTCATTCTCAAGCTCAAGTCAGCATAAGTCATTGTTAAAAATATAGGAAATGAACAAGGTATAATTAAAAGAATTTAAATATAACATAAAAGTCAAACAGCTAGAATGTAGATAACATGTATTTAATTCAAATACATATAATTTATTAGAAAACTGTATGCATGATATGTACTTTTTAATTTGAATTTAAATATAATACATGAGATGTAACAGTATGAAAACTTAAGTGGACAGATCATAACAATTTTATGTACTTTAAACATCTGGAGTAAAATGCTTTAAATCAATAGAATGAATATAAAGCATGTAGAGAATAACAAATGATATTACCATATTAAATCTAGAAATTTTATGAAAAGTTCTTCTTTATATATTAGAAAGGAAAGTTTTGTTAGTTTGTTCTTTATACATTTTGACACGGTTTGAGCAAATGCAATGACTTTTCAGGGATCATCCTCTAATCCACGAGGTCAATGACTAGTTTTGGTTGAATTAACTTCAACCTCCACCGTCAACAGGCTCTCCTTTCTATCTCACCAATGGGATAGTGTCATCAGAATAGAAAAATTATTTAATACAAAGTTACCAGTGAGCATAAAACATGTTTCTATGAGTTTGAGGGTGCTGACTTTAAATATATAACCAGTCAAATTTTGTGAAAAATAGGCTAACTGGTTACCATTTCAGTTGGTGAATGGTATGTTAAAGCTAACATTAGAAAAAATTTGGATGTTTTGAATTATCTTTTCATTCAGGCAGAAATCAATGACTATTTTATGCTGGAAAACATCAATTTCTATCTATCTGACCAATGAAATTGTGCCATTCCATACCATCTGAATATTGCATTCTTTGCAACCACAAAACACATACTTGGGAGTTTTTCAGGGGTGAATAATAGGTCCAATTGCCTCAAAATCTGATTGTTCATTTGTTTTTATTTTTGTTAAATGAATTTAAATAAAATTGATTTTTTTCTTCTTCAAAGTAGATTTTTGTTATTTTTATTCCATTTTGTTACATTTTCTTTTTACATATTGTAATTTACTTAACACATCAGGATAAACATGACAATAGTAGGCTAAAATAACCAAACTCATAATATGGTTTTCATTTTAATATTTGTTGTTCTTACTTTTTGCCCATGTAATACCAGGCGTATCTCCACACAACAAAAGAGTAGATATGAATCAGCCGGAGCTGGAAGGGTCTATGTCAGATGAAGAATAGAAAGAGACATGTATAAGTTGGCACATGAATCCAATCTCTTTAGCTATTTTGTTTTTACATTTTTAAAATGTTTTTATACTATCTTTATCATAAATGATTTTATTGTTTTACTTCTTTTTACAAATTTTATTATTTTGATCCATGTGTCAACTTCCTTTCATCTGACAGATCCTTTCCCCTCAGATTGACTCATACCTAGTCTTTCGCTTCATGGATTATAGTAATTATATAAAACTATAGTACAGAAAACTAATTTTTCATTCCGTTCTTTAAAATTTGCTTTGTGCATACATAAAAACTATTATTTGATTCTTTAAAGTTTACAATTAATTATATCACTACTAAAAAGAAAAAAAAAACAAGATTAAACCAGAGAAAAATGTTAAAGCAAGCAGGTTCTTTGAAAATTTTGTATTAATTAAAGAAACCTTTTAT